AGCATTATTCTGAAGCCATACACAGGCCTAGGTTAAAAAGCGGAAGCCGTCAGCAGCGTGAGCAGACGACAGAGACACATGGCGCAGGGTGGCGTGGATGCAGCAGTATTCGGAAGCCAAACACAGGCCTCGGTTAAAAAGCGGAAGCCGTCAGCAGCGTGAGCAGACGACAGAGGCACATGGCGCAGGGTGGCGGTGGAGGCAGCAGCAATGGAAGGCCATACAGCACCCTATCACAAAATGGAACCCACCAACAGTGTAAGGAGACCTGAAAGTGGCACATGGCAGAGTCTGGCGATGAAGTCAGCAGCAATGGGAGGCCGTACAGGGACCCATGACACACTCTGGACCTGGCAGCAGCAAGAGGAGGCGGTACAGGGGCCCATGGCAGAGTGGCGAAGCGTAAGCAGCTTAAATTGAAGGCCATACAGAGGCCTATGTTTAAAAAGTCCCCCCAGCAGCAGTGTGGGGAGACGACTATCAAGAGTCCAATGGCAGAGTGGCGGAGCAGAAGCAGCTTCAATTGAAGGCCATACACAGGCCTAGGTTAAAAAGTCCCCCCAGCAGCAGGGTGGGGAGACGACTATCAAGAGTCCAATGGCAGAGTGGCGGAGCGGAAGCAGCTTCAATTGAAGGCCATACACAGGCCTAGGTTAAAAAGTCCCCCCAGCAGCAGTGTGGGGAGACGACTATCAAGAGTCCAATGGCTGAGTGGCGATCCGGGAAGTCAGCGTTGTGATTGCAGATGCAATGCAGAAATTCTACGAAGTAATGCCGTGGGTGCGAAGAAGATCATATACCGTCGTACTTCCATCCATAAGACGGAACAACCTGCGAACCGGGAGCTTTATTGCCCTGACCCGCTGAGCAGCTTCTGGGATACCCAAGAGGCCCATGGCAGAGTGGCGGAACGTAAGCAGCTTCAATTAAAGGCCATACAGAGGCCTATGTTAAAAAGTCCCCCCAGCAGCAGCGTGGGGAGACGACTATCAAGAGTCCAATGGCAGAGTGGCGGAGCGGAAGCAGCTTCAATTGAAGGCCATACACAGGCCTAGGTTAAAAAGTCCCCCCAGCAGCAGCACGGGGGCCCCATGAGTTGTCAGTCCGCCCCTGGCTGTGCCCATAGAGGTCTCACACTCACTGGGAGACATTTTTCAATTCTGTCGCATAGCACAGCATTGCTTTCCAGAAGCATGAGACCAGTTAAAATATCCCTCCCCTTATGGCTCTTGCAGCAGAGGATGGATCTGGCAGCAGTATGAGAAGGCGGTACAGGGGCCCGTGGCACAGTGTGGTGATGGGGGCTACAGCAACTGGATGCCAGAAAGTGGCCGATAGGGCTATATACTGCATGGAATTATAAAGTTGTAAAGACAGAGGCCTATAAGGCTATACACACTATAACAATCATGACTTGATTGACCATTGGCCTATAAGGCTATACACAGCATGAATATCATGACTTATTCTGAGAGTGGTTTGGAAGGCTATATACAAAAAGTAATTCATGAGCTGTCCGGACTGTGGAAACTGTACGTTTATGTCACTGGAATGCACTAATCACCCAAAAAATATTACCGCCACCCGGCGTGTAAATGGATCTAACTCTTTGAACGTACAATAGTGGTTGTGAAGCAGAAAGTCAGTTTATTTAGCACAATCGGTCAATTGCAGCTTGCCGTTGGCTGGAAACTGTACGTTTATGTCACTGGAATGCACTAATCACCCAAAAAATATTACCGCCACCCGGCGTGTAAATGGATCTAATTCTTTGAACGTACAATAGTGGTTGTGAAGCAGAAAGTCAGTTTATTGTACACAATCGGTCAATTGCAGCTTGCCGTTGGCTGGAAACTGTACGTTTCTGTCACTGGAATGCACTAATCACCCAAAAAATATTACGCCAGCCGGCGTGTAAATGGATTTAACTCTTTGAACGTACAATAGTGGTTGTGAAGCAGAAAGTCAGTTTATTTTGCACAATCGGCAAACTGCAGCACCAACTGTGCATGACAGCCACCAAAAAAAAAAAGGGTGTATGTCACTTTAAATTTTCGATTCTTTGATAGCTGTGGCCCTAAGTAACGATTCTGTGTCCCTGAGTAACGATTCTGTGTCCCTGAGTAACGATTCTGTGTCCCTGAGTAACGATTCTGTGGCCCTAAAGTCTCTGTGGCCCTAACTCTGTCCCTTAATACACACAGGTCTGTCTCTCTTGAATGACCGGAGGCTAATGGAGAATTCTAAGATGGCCGCGATTTATAGCTCCACCATTACACAGTGCTGGCTGGCTGCTGATTGGCTAATGCGATCACATGTCATGAATGCATTATGGGTCAGCGCGCCTTGTCTGCGCGCCTTCCCAGAGATCCCCGCCCCATCTTCTCTGTCCATTTTCTCCGTCGCCACACATGTCGCCGCCATTTTTGGGAAAATTCGATTCGTGCATCCGAAGTTTGCTAATCTTCGGATTCGTCGCGAATAGAATTTTTCCAAATCTTCGGATTGAATTCCACTTCGTCATGTTCGATTCGCTCATCTCTAGTTACTACCATAAGCTACCACCAAAGAACAACCCAAAATAAATTCTCCAGCTCTTGACAATTGCAGCAATACCATATACAGTTGCAAGAAAAAGTATGTGAACCCCTTGGGATTACGTGGAGTTTTGCATGAATTGGGCATAAAATGTGCTCTGAACGTTATCTAAGTCACAACAATAGAAGAACACAGTCTGCTGAACATAATACTACACAAACATTAGATGTTGCCATGGTTTAATTGCACATAACATGTAAACATTCACAGTGCAGGGAGGAAAAAGTATGTGAGGCCCTAGCTTAATGACTTCTCCCAGAGCTAATTGGAGCCAGGAGTGAGCCAACCTTGACTCCAATCAGTGTGATGCTATTGGATGTGTTGCTGACAGCTGTCCTGCCCTTAAAAAACACACACCTGTTTTGGTTTACTGGTTTCATGAAGCACTGTCTGATGTGAACCATGCCTCGCAGAAAAGAGCTCTCAGAAGACCTACGATCAAGAATTGTTGACTTGCGTGAAGCTGGAAAGGGTTACAAAAGTATCTCCAAAAGCCTTGATGTTCATGTGTCCACGGTAAGACAGACTGTCTACAAATGGAGAAAGTTTAGCACTGTTGCTACTCTCCCTAGGCGTGGTCGTCCTATAAAAATGACTGCAAGATCACAGCGCAGAATGCTGCATGAGGTAAACAAGAATCCCAGAGTGTCAGCTAAAGACCTACAGAAATCTCTGGCACATGCTAACATTTTTGTTGACACATCTACAATAAGGAAAACATTAAACAAGAATGGAGTACATGGGAGGACACCACGGAGGAAGCCATTGCTGTCCAAAAAGAATATTGCAGCACGTTTGAAGTTTGCAAAAGAGCACCTGGATGTTCCACAGCACTACTGGCAAAATATACTGTGGACAGATGAAACCAAGATTGAGTTGTTTGGGAAGAACACACAACACTATGTGTGGAGAAAAAAAGGCGCAGCAAACCAAGATCAAAACCTCATCCCCACTGTAAAACATGGCAGAGGGAGCATCATGGTTTGGGGCTGCTTTGCTGCCTCAGGGCCTGGACGAATTGTTGTCATTGATGGGAAAATGAATTCCAGAGTTTATCCAGACATTTTGCAGGAAAACGTACGACCATCTGTCCACCAACTGAAGCTCCGCAGAGGATGGGTGATGCAACAGGACAATGACCCAAAGCATACAAGTAATTCAACAAAACAATGGCTGCAACAACACAGAATACGCCTTCTGGAGTGGCCCAGTCAGAGTCCTGACCTCAACCCGATTGAAATGCTGTAGCATGACCTTAAGAGAGCGATTCACATCAGACATCCCAAGAATATTGCTACACTGAAACAGTTTTGTGAAGAAGAGTGGTCCAAAATTACTCCAGATCGTTGTGCAGGTCTGATCTGCAACTACAGGAAACGTTTGGTTGAGGTTATTGCTGCCAAAGGAGGGTCAACCAGTTATTAAGTCCAAAGGTTCACATACTTTTTCCTCCCTGCACTGTGAATGTTTACATGTTATGTGCAATTAAACCATGGCAATCTAATGTTTGTGTAGTATTATGTTCAGCAAACTGTGTTCTTCTATTGTTGTGACTTAGATAACGTTCAGAGCACATTTTATGCCCAATTCATGCAAAACTCCACATAATCCCAAGGGGTTCACATACTTTTTCTTGCAACTGTACGTGTATGTTATTTGTTGTTTGTACCTGTAGTGCAGCCCAGAAACAATAGTGCGCATTTTGTTTTTGTTTTTCTACCTAAAACACTCTGACACTAACTGACACTGATACCATTTTTTAAAATCATGATCTTTGACCTTGACCTTTTGACCCTGACCTTGACCCAAACACTTACCCTGGCAATGAACTAGATCAAACCTTGATCTAAGTATTTTTTCTTTATTTTTTTATTTTATTCTTTTTAATATTTATATATTTCATCTTTTTTTTTAACAAACATTTTTTCCCCCTCTATGCCAGGAGTTGGAGAGATACAATGTATCTCTCTCCTCCATTCATAGAGAGAAAAAAAAAAGGAGGCCAGGCTGTACAGTGACTGATCACAGTGATAGCCAATCAGGGGCTATCACAGCGATCATGTGACCCAGCATCGGGAGTCCCGGGTTCCAATCATTAGAACAGGACCCAGTGCTCTCAGTGACACTGAGGTCTTTGTACTGGGAGTGCGCTGTGCGGCGCGCTCCCAGCAGAAAGACAGCTACGCAAAAATGCGGCCCCACGGAAAAAAGCCCAGTTCTGTGAGGCTGCATATTTGTGTGACGTCGGCGTCAAGAGGTTAAACAGAAGCACATTATTTCACATTCTTCAAGTTCCAGCTGTTCTTTACACCTGAAAAATTACAAACACAAATTTCTTTCAACAGCTCAGTGAAAAGTACGGACCTGTGTATACAGTCTACGTTGCCAACAGTCGAGCAGTCATGCTGATTGGCTACGATGCTGTGAAGGAGGCTTTGGTTGATCACAGTGATGCGTTCAGTGACAGAGGGGAAATTAATATACTAGAATTATTCTTTAAAGATTTCGGTAAGATCCATAAAAAAAAAATGTTTACATGTGCCTTGTTGATACACTTGTACCATATAAACCAGTTGCAATCATTTAGAATTAATCTAAAGACAGTCGCTAAAATGAAAATCATTGCAATGCAAAGGTGGGATCAAAGCTATTAAAGATGCACTCTATTCCAACCTAAACATTTAAAATGGAAGCATGCACAGGGAACCCAGCCTTTCTTTTCTTCTGTCTTTTTTTTAATCCTGGCTAGTCAGCAGATTGCCATTCTGAACTTTGCAACCACCACCTATTAGAATCTTTTGCTCTTGTGGGGCAACACACGTACAGTGTTGTTATTGTGGGAGAAGGGGAGACATAGGATCAGACACCAAAACACTGATGTTGGTGGGCCCTAAAATATTTACTTTAGACAATTTATAAAACAAATATCATCCCTGAGATAGGTAGGCAGAGAGTCATCTCCCTGTACTTGATTATGCAAGAACCCAATGGGTCAAATGCACACTCATTTCACTAAATATGAGTAACAAGTGGGATTGGTTAGTAGTGATTGTGTAGTGAGGAGTACCTATTACAAGCAGTTACATAATTAAGTGATTTGCTAAAAGTCTTTATTAGGAACTTAGTATATAGACAACATATTTCTTGGAATATGGCTTCCCTCTTCTTCAGGGCTTAGATAGATTCTTGTGATTAAATCCACACGGCACACACCATAATAAACTGGCTTGGGACTGAGATCCCATTGACTGGTGCCGATTCTGCTAGCCAGCACAAGTCATGATGAATCCAGTTCATCCTAATTGTTATTGTTGGAGTTGGCTGTGTACTACTTCCCTAACTAATAAAGGCTGTTAATAAATCACTTAATCTTGTAACTGTTTGTTTTAGGCACACCTCACTACACACTAATTATCCATTTGATGGACAACATTTTCATTTCTATCAGGAGTTAAACATTCTAGAACCCAAAAATGGTCCTCGCATACCACCCTCCCCAAAAATGTGTACTTCACATAAGGTACTTAGAAATTTTCCAACAAGCTTAAGGAGCTTTCTTAGGAGAGGATTGTTTTTGCTCTCAAGGCAAACCCCTAAATGGCTGATTCTCAACAGAGCATCATAGCTGTTATCAATATAGAGGCAAGGTTGGTCCTTGTTTTCTGAGCTTAAAGTGGAGTTCCAGCCATTTTTGTGTTTATTAAAGTCAGCAGCTACAAAAACTGTAGCTGCTGACTTTTAATAAACACACACTTACCTGTCCCGGATTCATGCGATGTTCTCACCCACGCGGCCCTTCTCCCCTTCCTTCCTCCATGGCAACGGTATCTCAACTGTGGGCACCAGGCTGTGACAGCTTGCGGCTTTACATCCTGGTGCCCACTGCACATGCGCGAGTCATGCTGCACTTCAAAATTGGTCAGGCAGTCTCCTGGGACCTATGAAAGTGCCCAGGAGACTGCGGGAGGGAGGAAGGGGAAGCAGGAACCTGTCAAACCAGGTACCCACTCCCTCCAAAAGGTGTTAAATATGGCAGTGGAGGAGGGGAGGAGAGAAATAAGCGGAGCTTCCACTTTTGAGTGGAACTCCACTTTAAGTCATCTTGATTACTCTGTTGGGAAGGGAGAAGTCAAACCTAGAAAACGAATAACTCATCAAATGTTAGATACATAAGTATACTGCATAAGTACAAACCCAATAAATGGATAGTTAACATCTGCTGCCTGAATTTCTGAAGAATGTTTTCTATGGGCAGCTTTAGAATTGGTGATTATTCTATTAGGTGTATGGGCTCCACAGTGTATAAAGAGCACAAATCGCAGACAGGCTTAATATCTTCTTGATTCCACTATTTACAAAGTGTAGTGCTCACCTCCGGAGGACCTGCTGAGAATGACCCTGTTTTCCCTCACATATTCAAAGGTGCCAGGCCCACACACTAGTTCCAAGCACACCAACCAACTTTGGCTCAGTCTAGGGCACAGGTGTCAACTTGCGGCCCTCCAGCTGTTGCGAAACTACAAGACCTATGAGGCATTGCAAGATTCACAGTTACAAGCAAAGGCAGAAGCATGATGGGACTTGTAGTTTCACAACAGCTGGAGGGCCAACAGTTTGACACTCCTGGGCTAGGGAATGTCTTTTTGAAGATTTATTGAAGTGCTTTAAACAGGAGGGAAGGATGAGGGTGCGGGATACTTCAAAATGCAAAACTAATACAAGAGGACAGATTCTTGAGCAAAAATCCTTTAACAGCAGCAGTATGCGCAGTACTAGTGCTTATAGCAACTTCTGCCATTAACCTCAAAAGCATGTGGACGCCTACAGGCCTAGATGAAGGTCATTCTCGAATGTCAAAGAACAGCTGTCATCCATTCGGCTTCCATGTGACACTACAATGAAAGAAAAAATACCTTCTCCAGTCCAGCTTCCACAGGTGAGTCCCTCCAGCAAATATCTTTCAGTCCAAAGTCTTCCAGGCCCTCAGCCAAATACATGCTGAGGCCTAACAACAGCTCTTCAGTACATCAGCTGTCTCCCAGGGGCAGCAGCCCTGGGAGAATCACACTGTTGAACAGGCCTCTCAAACACTTATCTTCTCCCTAGCCACCTTCTGGGTATTCATTCTATGGCTGACCCTCCTCCCATAGAGTACTTTCAGCCTAACTTTTCTCAGAGATTTTCCAACCCATGGGCAACAACCTTAGCACCAGCAGACTGAGAGTGGACTATACTGGGCAGGTTAACTCTGCAGTTAACCCTTTACACACACAATCATTAACCACCACAATGTGTTTTAATGGAAACATTCATAATTCACAGCATCTGTTGAAGCATATCTGACCTTTATGAAATGTCTGTGACACTCACTACCGTACCCAAACAGGAATGTAACAGAATTAAGCAATAAGTTCCTTAACCTCAGTTTAGGCTTCATCCAGACACCTGTCCTGTGGGCAGACTAATTTAGTTATTGTGTCTGCATCTGCCCAAGCCTGAACATAGAAAACCTACAGAGGTGGATGCAGCAGCAGCAGCAGCAGCACAGGGATAGCTGCATGTCAAAATTTCACATGCGAGCAGGAATGAGTGCTTGGATTCAAACAGACAATGTTTACATAGATCTGCACACCCACTCCCACCCGCATGTTAAGTTTTGACCTTCAGCTACATCCAGCTCTGTCCATGCAGCCACTGCATCTGCATCTGCCTCTATAGGCTGTCCACTTGAATCCTGGGGCAGATGCAGATGCAATAACAAAGGAAGCCTGCATGCAGAATGGATGAGAGCGCCTGTCTGAACGAAGTCTTACATTAGAGATTCAGCTTATTGATTAACCAATCAAAGGTCCTGAGATATTTTCTGAAGACATATTAAAGTGTTTAATGATTTTCAGCAGACATAAACCCTTAATTTTTGCTTTTTATAAATTTGTCTATATTTCCATTAGACAAAGTTTTTCAGTCTGACAACCAATATGTTATTGTACAGAATGAAATTACAATTTGAGAGAGATCAAATATGATATTATTCTTATGCATTTTATTAGCCTTCTGCTCCTGGTAATACATGCTTATTTGGCACCTAACTGATTGTTGTTTTCCTCATAACAAGAATTATGGAAACTGTATATATTTTGGCTGTGATAATTTGATCTCAGGTCAAAACCCAGACTTGCATATTTGTTTTTTGTTACTGGACAGGATTTATGACAGATCATTTGTGACAAGGCTGCATAAAGAGCTTTTTCAGACTCTGTTAAATACTGTTTATGACCTTACCATACAATCTCCTACCTGCCAACTAACTTTCTCTGCTTTCCATCTAACTTGGGGCTGTTTTCTGTCAATTGTGCTGTAAACTGGAAAATTTTCTTTTGTCAATTGTTTTATATCTCGTAAATGCCTTGCACAGACATCAGATATAAATCTGATTGTTTCATTATTAAGCACTGTTTATGATACTGCTAAACGTTTTATGACCCCCTGCCTGGAATCTAACTTTTCCTGCTTTCTATAGACTGTGCTGGCAAATGAATTGTTTTTTTCTACAAATGTATTAAATCCCATGAATGGCTATAGCTGCCATATAGACATAAGATTTTCAATCGGACCATTTTCATAGCCGACTTGTGAATTCTGGAGAAATGAGGTTGGCTCTGTATTTAGTACAATCTCCCCATTTTGTTCACTCAGTTTTGGATTCAGCAGACCTTATTTTCATCACATGGAGCCATTATCATAACTCCCTGTCTCCAAAGGGACTCACATTCTAATGTCTCTTAATCTCATAGAAACAGACCAGTTCATAAGGGAGCCAATTCATCCAAAGCATTCTGGATCTTGGCCATGTGACATTTCCATAAATTATTCCCAAACACAGGAGGTGAAAACCTTCCTGCTTTTCTTGTCAGTGTGGGCTCCAAAAAAGAAGCTTTTCACCTAAATTATTAATTTATTTTCACATAATAGAGGGAAACCCATGCAAAGAAAGTGGAAAACCCACAAGCTCCACATCGATAGTGTTCCTGGTGGCATTCAGGGAGAGCAGAGGAAGTCGAAAGGTTATTGTTTCAAATGTTTGAATTTTTGGGGTCTTCAATGTACAAAACCTTTCAAATATTTTAGGGATCATCGTGAGCAATGGAGAGAGATGGAAGACAATGCGTCGATTTTCCCTGACAACATTGAGAAATTTTGGGATGGGAAAGAGAAGTATAGAAGAAAGGATCCAGGAGGAAGCTCAATGTCTCAGGGACAGATTTATGAAGAACAAAGGCAAGTTGAAATAATGTTGAATTCGCATACTTGTGAACCTAAACACAAGTTTACATGGAATAACCCAACCTTATGATCCAAATTTTTCATTTTCTAACACCTCCTCTAAAGATGCTCATGAGACAGCATGATCTGATTTGGTGATGACTATCTGGAAGTGCATACTGCAAATTGTGAAGCTGCAACAAATCTAAAGACCCCATCTCATATCCTGAGTGGAGGATGACCTCATCTATCCCTTTCCTCTCCAGCTTACTGTCCCTGCTGGCCCTTTTCTTTCACTGGATTTTAGTTCTTTTAGCGATGGGGCTCAGAATCAAATGTGGGCATTACCTAGGGCAGTTTGCATTCAAAAGCATTCTGCCTTAAAATGACTACACTTCCAGAATGTCATCTACCCACAGCTAAATAGTGAGTTGATTGAAATGCTGGGCAGGGATATGCTATGTAGCTGATATAACAATCATCAGGTAGAATCCATCCACAACCATACCTCCCAGTCTTGTGGGCTGGAAAAGGTTGCAGTGCAAAGTGAGAGAGATTACATTGTGATAAAACTACAAAGAGTAAGGCAGACCATAAACGGAGCAAATTCGCAGGAAAGACATTCGCTTATTTCCCTCATCAACACAGAGTGTTGATAGGGGAATCCCTCCTGTTGAGTCATTGTGTTCTACCAGCGGGGGAAAGCCATCCCAATCGGGAGAACACAGAGATTATTGCTAGTGGCTACAACATCCGCAAGCAATAATTGTGTGTAAAATCCAGCAGGCTGGTTGTACACAAGTTGATCGATCGCTCACTTGGGTACTTTCAGCCTTCCTATGCATGGTTCGATTCTTGGCCGATTCCTGCTGAAGAGACAGAGATTTGAACCATCTATGGTCGGCATTTTATTGATCCGCTTTTGCTACTGACCATTACCAACCCACAAAGAAATCAGGTAAAATTACTAAATAGTCACAGATCATAATTTTAAAAACAATATGTTAAAACAAAAATTATATGGTCTTTGCAGAAGAAGTAAAAGACTGACCGAATAGCATAGCAAATTTGCATCTAGCTTCTCTTCATTTATTAACCCAGGTGAAAATACACATTGCAAAGTAAACATGCTCTGCTCCTTCAGTAAATCAACCCCACCTTGCTTATGCCAGCCTGAAGTGTAATCTTTTAGTATCTTTTAGTGCCCAAGGTCCCAAAGGGTATTCTAAATTCTAGATATTGATGTTGGAGATGAAAATGCTGAATGATTATATTTGCATAATACCAGATAAACCAATAAACCCGACTCATCTACTACTACTGGCTGTGTCTAATGTCATCTGCTCCATTGTATTTGGAGAAAGATTCGACTACGAAGACAAGAAGTTTATGACCCTTTTGAATCTTCTTCAAGAATTTGTGATCCTGGTGAACTCCCGGTTAAGCCAGGTAAATGTAGATATTGTACAATTGTGTGTATGTACACATTATAGTTATTTTATAGTGATGCCATATCTCTAAATTCAGGAGAGGCATGGGGGTGCTGGAGAGGTGATATGTTTGATCTGAAGGCACAGACTCTTCCCTGCCCTCCAAGTATATGGTGCATGCCTCAACTGTACAAGTGCTACCACTGGGAATTAGGGGAGTGAGCTCACCAGCAGGTGGTGGACTGTAGGGACTCACCAGCAATGCAATGCCAAGGTCTGATGAGTACAATTAGGGAGGAGAGAATTTGTGCTAGAGCTGTTTTTTTTTTCAATGGGGGGTGGGGGTGGGATAACATATTGGGAGGTGGAAGGAATTTTTATTTGTGGAACTCTGTGCTTTACCTACTTTTGGCCTCTACCAGGGGCGGACTGACCATTTGGAAACTCGGGCACTGCCCAAGGGTCCCAGGGTCAGTAGGGGGCCCCATGAGATGCCCCTGGTACCTTTTTCATAGGCTTTTTTGAGTTTGGGCAAGGACACAGGGCCCCATGATCCCCTATTGCCCAGGGGCCCCATGAGTTGTCAGTCTGCCCCTGGCCTCTACACTCTATGTGTTATGCACTCAGAGCAAAGTAGGCTCAGGTCTTATTAAACCATACCCTTTTAAACCCCTCCCACTGTTAGCACAAACTGGACACACTTAACATGTGGTGTAGCATGTTTTGTTACTATTATCCCCACTTCCTGCTCCACTCCTGCGTCAACCCTAATAAAAGTCGTCGTTGTCAATATTGTGTCACTGGATTTAATTTTAAAAATGTAATTTGTCTAAAGCAAGGAAATATTAGAGATTGTTCACCAGAACAGGTTACCTCATTGGAAGATTTACTCTCTCCCCTGCTGTTGCTATGACAATTTAAATATTATGGATTTCCCATTACCTTCTGAGACAATGGCCACAGGACCAAAAGAGGATTTCTTCAGAACAGTGAAGTAATTGAAGATCCATTCAAAAAAATGCTGAGCGGAGACAAAAACATGTCATGCAACTTTGATAGCTCATGTGACAGGCTTCTCCTCCTATCTTAAGTGTTCCTTATATCATTATGCAGAGAACACGTCGCAGGACATGGTAGGTTTCCCACCGTGCCCTACATTTTATGAATTAAAGTACAACTGAAGGCACATTTTTTTTTGGTTTTGGATAGAGTGGAAATGGATTGGAAAACGTGTCAGTTTTTATTGCTGTCTGTGCCCCCGTTACAGAGATTCACCTTCTTCTTTTGGGTTGTCCCCACAAAAGTAATAGCGGAGATATCTTGTAAAGGGGTCACTAATTCTGGTGACCTGGGGGTCCTCAAGGGATTCCCCTAATTTTCAGGGATTTCCTCTCACTTCCTGTTTTTGCTATGGGACAGGAAGTGAAGGTATATCTCCTCAATGGGACACAGATGGTAAAAAATAAACTGACAGGGGTTATAACCCTTCCTTACTCTACATTGAAAAAAAAAAGTTTGCCCACAATTCTGCTTTAAACATAATATTCATAAATGGAGTAATGTAATCACTGTGATGTCCTGCGGAAGACAGTATTGTGCTCCATTTCAAATAGGACCCAGCGCATGACTTTTTTAAACTTTAGTCTTGTACATATACAAGACATCTGATGCCAGCACTGGTTGGAGAAAAATTTCAATAGCAGTAGGTTAGCAATAGACAAAAAATTCTAACTTGGAGACTTGTTTTGGTAAAGTCCAAAATGTTTACAATGTAAGGGAGATGTATTGCTCATTATTTAACACCTCAATTAAAACTTTGTTTCAGCTTCTTAATCTGTTCCCAACCTTAATGAGACATGTACCAGGCCCCACCAGAAACTTTTTCAAATTTTTGAAAAGCTTAAAGAGTTTATAGTAGAAATGGTGGAAGGTCACAAGGAGACATTGGATGAAAACTGTCCCCGTGATTTTATAGATTGCTTTCTCTTAAAAATGGAAGAGGTGAGTTTGATTTTAATTCTTGATCTAGAATCTCTAGAATATCTTTTCTAATCTAGGAATGCTATAATGTGTTATTTCAGCTTTTATTGCATGCCTTCTAAGAAGTACTAAAATGCCATTTGATGCCATGTTGTGCTGTGTCTAAAAGTGGTTCTGTTGTACTTGCTAGGGTAGTTTGCCACTTTAAAAGGTACTCCTGGTAGGGCACTGATTGATGATTAATATGTGAGAGCTCTAGTAAAAGGTTAATGATTAGTCCAATGCCTCTTCCCTAATGGCAGCTTTCCAAACTACTGGAAAGAGGTGGAAACAAAAACAGTATGAGCCACGATGGGAGCCCAATTTAGGATTAGTAGGTATTTACTTGCATTGTGGTATCCTTATGTTCCATTTGTTAGAATAAATTTGAAAAATTTTTTCAGGAAAAGAACCCAAAAACAGAATTTCATAGGGATAATTTACTTGGATCCGTAATTGACCTGTTCTTTGCCGGGACTGAGACTACAAGTGTAACTCTGCGATATGCCTTCTTGATTCTACTCAAATATACCCTGAGATACAAGGTAATGCCATCTTTTCCTACCAGAACAATAAGGGTGATTGCCCTATCTAAACTGAAAAATTTAACTTGGACATGCATAAAGAGGCAAACCCTGTCTGCTGAGTAAGGGCCTATCGCAAACAAACAGAAGGAATACCCAGCAACACTTACCAGCCAGCCTGTGAAACAACCAATTAGGCCCTGTCTGACAGTGTGTGTTAAAAACTGAGGGTTTTATTTGCACACATTTGCAAATACATTTGTAAACAACAGTCCCACATCAAGGGTCCTCTGTATACTGTGGACCTAACTAAAATTTCCAAAGCCTCCATAGTAGAAGCACATGTATAAATGGATAGGTTGAAGACAGGTGTGCCTGGAGGAGCCCATCCCTCCTTAAAGGTACAGGGACACACGTGATGCCCAGCTATACCAAAATGATAGCAACACTTACCAGCCAGATTGGTTGTTTTGTAGGCTGGCTTGTAAGTGTTGCTGGGAAATCCTTTTGTTTGTTTGCAATGTGCATTGCCCTTCCATGTGCACCTTACTGCTAAGGCAGATTATAGGCTGGGACGGTTGCCATTTTTTTGTGTAGTTGGCTAATTTTAATGCAGGGACACACTGGATGCCTTTGCTGTCATTTTGGGAAATTTTCTGGCTTTACCACAGTTGCTGTTTACTGGATAGCGTAAGTAGCTCACTGAATGTTTTCACATTCATCTGGAACAGTTTGAGTCATTTTTCATCTTTCAACAAATATATGGCTGCAATTATTCTTTCTCAGAAAAAACACTAACTATAGAAATGTACAAAAAAAAAACTGTCCCCTATGCTTGTGTGACAGAGAAAGCATGACCCCCTTGTATCCTGCTCTGAAATGTGGAAAAATTTGCTCAGCATTGGAAAAACACACTATAACTTAAAAACACTCTATAACGTTACCATGTTACATACTCATTGGAGCTCATATATATTCATAGGCTTTGCTGCATTTTTCAGCTTGTGACAAAACACACACAAATTATTTCTAATGTGTAAATTTTACTGATTCAATATAAATTAATTATTACAGATTTCATAACATCTAATATCTTTCCATGCTCTTTTCTTTCTGTGTGCTCCAGAGAATATCCATAAAGAGATTAACAATGTAATAGGAAGTGATCGCTGTCCATCAGCAGAGGACAGAAGTAAGATGCCATATACAGATGCTGTCATTCATGAGATCCAGAGATTTGCCGATATTGTACCAGGAGGACTACCCCATGCAGCCAGCAAGGACACCATGTTTAGAGGATATCATATTCCAAAGGTGCTCTTCTCAGATTTCCAAGATGATCGGAGATGTCTCTATGTTTTTATCTATCTATCTATCTATCTATCTATCTATCTATCTATCTATCTATATATCTATTTCAACAATACTTTATTAATGAAATTAGAACATGTTAATAGTCTCAAATATGACAAACAAAGCAATTCATAAAACATCAGCTTTGAGATTAAATACATTTGTCAGGTGGCTTATGAATAGCAAAAGTCTCAACATCCATAAAGAGCCCACTTTAGCATGTAAGAAATAAGTTAAACATATGCTTTAGTGGTGAGAACAGAATGTTTGGCAAAGTCTGGAAGCTCATTCCTGTAAAGGAGAACCAGGTGTTTGGGAGGAGATATCTCCTCTTTTAGATATGGTCCTAGGAGGAGAAACACTTCCTATGCGAAGAGGGTTTTGGCTTAAAAGGCCTAGAGTTAGTGTATGATGAGAACAGGAAAAAGAGAGAGGAGAGAAGAAAAAGAGAGAAGGGAGAGAGAGAGAAAAGAGAAAAAAAAAGATGTAAAAGGCTTGGGAGGGTCATGTGGTGTTCCCTAGAAAATAGTAATATGTCATCCGTGAATGCCCCTAATTTTTGTAGGTATGGTTGGCAATGTTCAGTTCCTGTATGTCTGGATTGGCTCGAAGATGACGTAGAAGTGGCTCTAGCGTGAGCACAAAGAGGATTGGTGAGAGTTGACAACCCTGTCGCGTGCCGTTATTGATGGAGAAAGCATTCAACAAGTGGCCGCTGACTCGGACTCTAGCAGTTGGTGTGTCATACAAGGACATTATAAAGTTGAACATATGGTTTCTAAGTCCGATTGAGTGTAAGACGGTTCCCATTTAGTCCCAGGCCACCCTGTCAAATGCCTTCTCCACATCAAGGGACAGGAAAGAAACCACATTGCTTCGACGATGTGAGCCAGTGATGTAAGTTCAGAGCCTTAATAGTATTATCCCTGGCTTCCCTGCCAGCAATAAAGCCTAACTGGTATTTCACAATCAAGAAGGGAGGTAATGACAACAGGCGATTAGCCAATATTTTAGCAAATAGCTTAATATCTAAGTTTAGGATCGATATAGGTCTATAGTTGGCTATCAACATATTGTCTTTCCCCTCTTTTGATATGACTGTGATGTGGGCTTCTAACAGTCTATGAGATGGATGTTTCAGAGAGGATTGAGAATTGAACTCTTGTTTAATAGCTTGTTTGAGCTCTTCTTCAGTAATGAGGCTTTCCAGCTGTCATGCATTAGTTCTGGAGACGGGTTTAGGGCTGTATTAAGAAGCCTTATATTAATGTGATCCTGTGTTGACTACCTTTGGACTCCCCAGGCATCTGAGGTAGATTGTATAAGTCAGAGTAGAACTTTTCAAATTGAGATGCAATGTCAATAGTAGCTACATTGGAGCGGCCTTGGGTATCTTTAATAAGATGGATAGTTGTTCCTGCTTTTCTAGCTTGAAGGGCTCTAGCTAGGAGTTTACCACATTTGTTACTGTGCTTGTAAAAGAGCTTTTGGGAAAGAACAATTCTGTCTCACCTTACATCCAAGCTCCCAAAGGAGGAGTGTTCAAGCCTGGAGTAGGTCCATGTATGTTTGTTGTGCTTGGGATTGTTTATGGGCCACTTCTAGGGACCATATTTTATTGAGAAGATCCATGAAGTGGGCTTACCGTGACTTTTTCTGAGCTGCCATAAGCGCCAGTAATCTTCCTCTAATATCACACTTATGTGTTTCACATAGGGTAATAGGAGCTACATCAGGGGTGTAACTTCCAGCAAAAAATTCCTGTGAACAAAAACATATATGGTTTACATCCTCTTCCACTGTCAGTAGGGATGAATCTAATTGCCATCTGTGAAGGTTAATGTAAGTGTAATCAGGTGGTGATCTGAGAGGAACATTGGTTCAATAGTTGCTGAGAAAAGAAAGGGGAGATCTTTTTGTGATAAAAATAGATAGTCAATTCTTGAATATCTGTTGTGTGGGGCCAAGAAGAAAGTAAAGTCCTTATCACTTGCGCCATGTATCATGGAGAATAAGATCTTGGATTTGCATTTTGATTGGACGAAGTGCTCTGTAGGGGAGAGATGAAGCATCAAAAGAGGTGTCTAACAGGGGGTGAAGGGGAACATTAAAGTCGCCCCCTAGTATAACAAGGCTCAATTGAAAGCTTGTAAGGAGTTGTGAAAGCTTTCTAAAGAATACCATTTGAGCATTTTTAGGGCTGTAAATGTTGACTAGGGTCACAGGATTCCCCTGGAGACATCCTTCAAGATAAAGATAATGTCCTTGTTCATCTACAAGGGAGTCATTAATCTGCCATTGCAGGCGTTTGGATAAAAGTAGAAAATTATGTCAGCTTTGAGGCTAAACATGGAGGATAGTACTTTACTATGTTTCTTTGATATATTGATGCCTTTCACATTTAAAGAGACAGCTTTGATAGTTTCCTGTCTAGTGGTAGGTCTAGATTAGGTCATAGTGCGCGGTGGCTGAGCAAGTTTGGTAGATGGATGTAGCACCTGGAGGGAATATCTAAAAGGGGGCAGTATTATGAGAATTAATATTTCTCCAGGGATGGTGGAGGCTGAGGAGATAAGACAATTGAAGAAATAGGGGGAGGGAGAATGAAGGGGTAAATGAAGTGAAGAAAGAAAAGAGGAGCGGAAAAGTGTACAAGGGTGAAAGGAAGGGAGAAAGGAAGGTGGAAAGAAAAAAAAGGGGTGGAGGGTGGGGAGAAAAGAAGAAGAGAAATAAGAGGAGAGTAAGTGTAGATCACAAACCGATGGCATGAATAGACCAGCTTACCTGCCCTTAAGGGGAAGATGGATTCCGGATGTGTTCTGTAAAATCATGTAAAAACCTACTGTGTGGAGGTGAGTGAGGTGAGGATCGGGAGTAGACAACTATGTATAGTTCACTTGAGGTCCTATCTATCTATCTATCTATCTATATCTATCTATCTATCTATCTATCTATCTATCTATCTATCTATCTCTCTATCTATCTATCAATTTATTAGGCCTACTTCTTATACTAGATGGGCAGGTAATTCTTTGAGAACGGCAGGTCAAGAGGTCCAAATTTTCCTACCCTCACAAGAATCATTCCAGTGTCAGGACCCACCATAACACTTGGCCAGCACTAACAACAGCACAATCAGTACTGTGATGGTACCCTGTGTTCCATAGCAGAGTGAAGGATCAGCTGTGCTTACAGCAAGACTTTTCAAAATGTTCAAAAACCACCATATGCAATAGCAGCTGATTCTGTGCACCAGAAGCACTTGTTACCGCCTCCTCACTGGTAAGACATTAATGAATAATTGATTGTTGTGCATGCACTAGAGACCTATAATGTCAGCCCCTGCAAGCAATCAGCTTTTTGTGGAGAGGGAGGGTACATAGAGGACATAAACAAAGCTACCAAGCTTTGCTTACATTGCATATCTTTCATTGAGAGATACATTTATTCACGTCATACAGTAATTCATGCTGGAATTAGACAGTCTACTTTGGAAATAACTTTATCAACTCAGACATGCTCTTCTTCCAAATCCATTATGCCAGTAACTTACAAAAGTTGACTTCTGGCATGGGAAGATTGTGATCCCCAACCTTTGGGCTTGATTACACTTGCTTTGATTTTAACACACATTAAAGCGCTGTTTTTTATGCTTCTTTGATGCTTTTTTTAAGCTTCTTTCTAAGAAGTTAATGGTGTAGCTATTACCTTGGGGAAAGTGAGTTTTATCAGCTGACTTTGATCAGCAGTGAGTGGTGGTTTAGTAATGAAGGGTCTATCGGTGGCTGTGGCCAGAAAGGTTCTCCTGGGTGTATTGACCCACCATCTGGGTTAACCTTTTCTTATGGGCCTCAGGTACTGGATAGAATTCATATATGGACTAAACTTGAAATGACTGAATAGAGAAGGCCTTGTGAAACAAAGTGAATTTGTGACTCCTGATCAGGCCTAGTACTGATGTAGCATGGGTGTGTGAAGACATAGTTGGAGGTTGGCTTGCTGCCCTGTAATCTCTACCATAGGCTTCAGACTGCATTTCTTCTAGGCTTTAAAATATGTTCTTCTATTCTAATTATTTACTAATTTACTTTAGTACTTTTTTGTAGTTCTTTAATACTACCTTTTTTTGCCTGCATCTGTTTCCGTTAGCTAATTTAATTTTTTTTTGATTTTAGGGAACTTTGGTGCTTCCAATTCTAACTTCAGTATTAAAGGACCCCAAACAGTTCAAAAACCCTGACAAATTTGACCCTGGACATTTCCTAAATGAGAATGGCACCTTCAAGAAGAGTGACGCCTTCATGCCATTTTCAGCAGGTACCAGCAAGTATAGCTAATCATTTTTAGATATACAGTGGGTTATTAATTTAAACCATGGTTGTTTTCCATCCAGAATACAGGCTTAGTTTACAAAGCTAACACATCAGGATAAGAATCTTTATATTCAACAAATTACATGTATTTTAGCTTCACTCAAATGGGATCTTATCTTTGCAGTCATTTGGCTAAAATAAAGATCCTCATCTTTGAAGCTTTGTGAATTTAATATTGTGCATTTATTTCTAATCTTACCATTATTTTCTACAGACACAATTCTTTAATTTAGGTATCTGCAATATCTACACTTTTGCTTTTGTAACACTAATTTTAAATATCAACTGACAATCACATTTATGATAAAAATACAGAAAAAAAAACTGCCAGCACAGGTGTAAATGACAGGTCAAATTAAAAGTGTATGAAAAGCAAAACATGTTTTTATGGTTTAAATAATTGTGATGTCAAGTTTTTATTGGTGTTTGTAACTGGGGAGATTTATTTCCTCATCTGTACGTGGTGACGTATCGAGTCATAAAAAGTGAGATCGGAAAATCTTGGAAAAATTTTAGTGTTGTCTCCAGAGCAAGAGAATTAATAAAAGAATTGGTACAAGTCAGTCTCCCAGTGGGGACAAGCTGTTCTGGATGTAAGTTGCTACAACTGTCTAAGATGGGATTCCTCTTTGTTTGGAGATATTTCCTTTTATTGAGGAAATTGCATCCCCAGGGCATTCTTGTGACTGGATTTCCCTCAAGTTAAAAACAAACAGTAAAAATAGAGATTGGGTTTGCCCTTTAAATTTTCTTTATTAGGTTTTGTCAGAAATACTATCCATAGTACACGAGTTGGAACAATGGTTTAGTTTAAAGCATTTCACTTACCAATAAAGAATTGTTTTCAATACACATCCTGCATTACTACACCAAATTGTTTTCACACAGCTCGTTGAAGATAATAGAAAGTTTGGGACCTCAATGTGGCTTGAACTTGGATGGATATTTGGTTGCCAAAGAAGTTGGTCCTATAGTGTAGAACAGTACCCAGAGGGACACTTGTCTATTTATTTACTTCCAACTAGTTCCACTGAAGGTAATATTGCCACAAAGATGGTGGAGCGGGAGAGAGGAGAAGATGCTGGAGAGGGATATCTTGCCATCAATTTGTAAACAGACAGCAGAAAAAACTTGTTGTAAGAAACAAAAGAAAGGGAAAAAGACATCCTTTTTGCACCTTGTATCAAGAACATGACCAGGAGGGGGCCATTTGTTTTGGACATTAGTTGGAGGAAATTTTGATGTAAATGTAAATGGGTTAGTACAAGAGAGAGTTTATAATTTTTATTTGTGGCAGTATTGGAGCAGGGTGGGGTTATCCATTAATTTGAGGATATCAGACTGGGATTTTGTGCTGTGTTGGTAATAAACTATATGAACCCTTGCCATCTATTTGTGAAAAGTTGGGGAGAAATGGAATGGAAAAGTTCCAGGTCAAGTTAATCTCTATAGATTAGGATTTTCAACTCATGCTTAACATTGCAGATAGCGCTGTATTTTTTTAATATAGTTCTACATGCAACTAACAGGCATATGCGGCTCCACTGTAAATGGCAAGTGGCGCTCTCTGGTTGATGTGAGGTAGGTTGAGTTGATGGGGAGCCATAGCCAAAGATAGAGGTTTTTAAAGTGGTTCTAAAGCCTTAAGGTTTTTTTACCTTAATGCATTCAATGCATCAAGGTAAAAAACCTTCTGTGCTGCAGGATTCCCCCCCCAGCCCTCCACTTATTCTTACTTAAGGTCGATCCGATCCAGTGATATGCACGAGAGCATATCGTCACTGTCTCCCTCCTCATTAGGCAGATTGATAGCAGTGGCAGCCATTGGCTTCTTCTGCAGTCAATCAAATTATTGGGTGGGGCTGTCAATAGAGGCCCACAAGAAGGCTCAGGAGTGAGCCCACATAGGTGCCACTTTCCAGGGGGGCACCTACTGAACAGGAAGGGCCTGGAGTGTTGGCAGGGGCCTTAGAAGAAGAGGATCAGGGCTGCTTTGTGCAAAACCACTGCTAAGAGCAGGTAAGTGTACCATGTTTGTTATTTTAATTAAAAAAGGAAGGTTTATTTTACTTTAATCCCTCACTACTTTCTCCAAAAGGCAAAAAATGTTGAGTGCCTAATAAAATGCAGTGCCCCCTCATGTGGTAAGCCTAAAAATCTCAGTATGTACTATAGAAACAAATATATGAAAGAGGCATCATATAAAAATGTGAAAGTCAATGCAAAAGTCAGACAAATTGATTTTGCTTTGAAGTGTAACTTCAACTAAAATTAACTACCTATTTGAAACCTACATATGAACTGTTTTACTTGCCAAAATATTGGCTATTTTCTACAGCCCCTCTTGGGATATGAGCACCCCTGCCATACTATTAGCTATAGAGTGATGTCACTATTCAGGACTTAAACTCTCATCTGTCTCTTTCATAACCTCATCCTGCTTATTTAGCTGTTAAAGCGGAGATCCACCCAAATGGGGAAGTTACGCTTTAATGCTTTGTCCCTCACACCACATTAAGGATTGGCACCTTTGGGGAGTGGAGGGGGAGTGGATACCCAAATTTGACAGGTACCCGCTCCCACTTCCGCTGCGATCGCCTGGGTGAGCGGAAGCGGAAGATGTCCTCCCTCCCCGTAGTCTTATGAGACACATGACAGGTCCCAGAAGACATGTACAGTGGGCACCCGGCTGTGACGCCACAAGCTGTCACAACCAAGTGCCCACATTAAGATGCCGGCGCCAGGTAAGAAACAGCTAGTGAATCCAGCAGTGGTGAGGACACTGCTGGACTGAGGGACCAGTAAGTGGCTGTATTTTAAAAATCAACAGCTACAGTTTTTGTAGCTGCTGACTTTTATTTATTTTTTTTTCAGCTGGAACTCTGCTTTGATAAATGAAACCTACACTGTTGAGGTTCTGAGTGTGTTCTCACCTTTCTAAAAGTTTGCCTAAACACCTCCTCCTCTGGTCTCCTATGAAAGGTGTTAGAATAATTAGATTACATTGTTGGAATTCCTACTCTCAGCATGCAAAGTTGAATACACAGTTAAAATACATAGATTACAGTTCTATTTTATTCTCTTAACACTTTTTAAATCCGTGTAGTTATCACTAATAGCATTCTAAGCAGCATCCTTACAATCCCCCAAAACTAACTCATACCAGTAATAACCAGTACCAATAGCTTATACAGTGTCTTGAAAAAGTATTCATACCCCTTTTAATTTTCCACACCTTTACATATTACAACCAAAAATGTAAATGTATCTTATTGGGATTTTATGTGATAGACCAACACAAAGTGGCACATAATTGTGAAGTAAAAGGAAAATGATAAATGGTTTTCAAAATGTTTTAAAAATACATATCTGAAAAGTGTGGCGTGCATTTGTATTCAGCCCCCTTTACTCTGATACCCCTAAAATCTAGTGTAACCAATTGCCTTCAGAAGTCACCTAATTAGTCCACTTGTGTGTAATTTAATCTCAGTATAAATACAGCTGTTCTGTGAAGCCCTCAGAGGTTTTTGTTAGAGAACATTAGTGAACAAACAGCATCATGAAGGCCAAGGAACATACCAAACAGGTCAGGGATGAAGTTGTGAAGTTTAAAGCAGGGTTAGGTTATAAAAAAATATCCTAAGCTTTGAACATCTCACGGAGCACAGTTCAATCCATCATCCGAAAATGGTGCATGCACTCGTACCAAAACATGGCCGTTCACCAAACTGACAGGCCGGGCAAGGAGAGCATTATTCAGAGAAGTAGCCAAGAGGCCCATAGTAACTCTAGAGGAGCTGCAGAGATCCACAGCTCAGGTGGGAGAATCTGTCCACAGGACAGCCATATGTCCTTTATGGAAAAGCGGCAAGAAGAAAGCCATTGTTGAAAGAAAGCCATAAGTGGTCCTATTTGCAGTTTGCAAGAAGCCAAGTGGAAGAAACATATGGAAGAAGGGGAAGAGAAAATGAACTTTTTGGCCTAAAAATCAAAACGCTATGTGTGACGGAAAACTAACACTGCACATCACCCTGAACACACCATCCCCACCATGAAACATGATGGTGGCAGCATCATGTTGTGGGGATGCTTTTCTTCAGCAGGGACAGGGAAGCTGGTCAGAGTTGATGGAAATATGGATGGAGCCAATTACAGGGCAATCTTAGAAGAAAACCTTTTAGTCTGCAAAAGATTTGAGACTGGGGCGGAGGTTCACCTTCCAGCAGGACAACAACCCTAAACATACAGGCAGAGCTACAATGGAATGGTTTAGATCAAAGCATATTCATGTTTTAGAATGGCCCAGTCAAAGTCCAGACCTAAGTTCAAATGAGAATCTGTGTCAAGACTTGAAAATTGCTGTTCACAGACGCTCTTCATCCAATCTGACAGAGCTTTAACTATTTTGCAAAGAAAAATGGGCAAAAATGTCCCTCTCTAGATGTGCAAAGCTGGTAGAGACATCTCCAAAAAGACTTGCAGCTGTAATTGCAGTGAAAGGTGGTTCTACAAAGCATTGACTCAGGGGGGCTTAATATAAATGCACACCACACTTTTCAGATATTTATTTGTAAAAACTTTTGAAAACCATTTATCATTTTCCTTCTACTTCACAGTTATGTACCACTTTGTGTTGGTCTATCACATAAAATCCAAATAAAATACATATACGTTTTTGATTGTAACATGACAAAATGTGGAAAATTTCAAGGGGTATGAATCCTTTTTCAAGGCACTGTAGCTGTAGTTTTTTTTTAATAACTATGCCTTTTCTCCTACTCGAGAGACCCTCAATAGAGCTACGCACTGGAACAAGGAGAGATGATTGCAATGGAAAGTATATAGCACTTAGCCTTGTGCTTCCATTTCTCTAACTGTCCGGTTTCAAGTCAGTCTTTGCACCTCATGTCCCACCAAATAGCATGATGCTCAGGACTTCATAAGTTACTATCCTATTTATGTCAACAGTCAATGAGTAACACCTAGACAGAGGTAACCATTGGACAATGGGTCCTGGAAGTGTACCAAGGCTTTCAAATGGTAATAAAATGCTAAAATAAAAAAAGTGTGGGCCTTCTGGCTATTTAAGTCATAATGTGCTAGTATGCACCACATGCTTCCACATTATAACAGACTTACCTTCAAACCAAGCCCTCAAGTGGTGCTCAAGCTTTTATCAGTAGTTTTTGATCATTTTTTTTCTTCTTTCCAGGAAAACGTGTATGTTTGGGGGAAGGTTTGGCTCGAATGGAACTCTTCCTCTTTTTTACAACCATTCTGCAAAGATTTCTTCTGAAACCCACTGTGGATAGAAAGTACATAGACATTACACCAGAGCCCAACAGTAATGCTTCCAGGCCTCGCGAATACGAGATGTTGGCTGTGCCACGCTGATGGACCATTGTATATTCTGGTGTTATTGGATATTTTGTTCATATTTTAAGAGCAGCTATAACTTTACAATGTGTAAATAATAATGCAATATCGTGTGGACTTTCATTGTTTCATTGTTCTCTATAAAGTTCTATAAATAAAAAGTGCCTGAATGCTAGTATCTTCTTCTGCATATAAGTATTTGTCACGTACCTGATGGGAGACTGAAATGACGAGGTCGGCCTCACTTGTGTCACTAGCCCTGACCCTGCTGGAGTTGGAACAGAGGGAGTCTAGGGACCAGGGGGACAAGAGCGCCAGTGGTTGTTGTTTGCAGCTCTTGCAGATGATGACCTTGGAAAGCTGATGATCCTCTGATTCAAGCACAGTAGAAGCAATCAGAGAAGGTCTTGTAGATTGCCAGGCATGCACCAGAGCAAGGCAGGTAGTGAGGACAAGAGACAGGAGCAGTGTCATGGGAATAGCCAGGGTCATCAATAGTTGGGCAGCACGGTACAGAATCAGAAGGAAAGCCAAGGTCAGGAGCAGAGCCAAAGTCAGGAACCAGTATCAGGAGAGCAATCAGAGTCAGGTCAGGAACAAGCCGGGTCGGAAACAAAGGAATCGCACAGGAGCAAGCAGGACATGGGGGAGCTGAAGACCAGTCAGCACTCAACATGGGCAGAGACACTCTTTAAATAGGCCGTCTGGCGCCAATCTTTGCCGTGCGTGTGCAGGTGCGCGATCGCGCATTTCTGTGCGCATGCGCACAACCGGTAATTCTTCTCTGGGAATTCCTATGAACATGCGCATTTCCGATCGTGATTCGTCTTGCCGGAAATCCCTTACAGTATTTCAAACCAGGGACATAATTTGACTGCAATCTGTTCACCACAAGATTTCAGGACATATTACAATAGCCTCGGCTAAGCTTGGGAATGTTATGTGAATAGTTTGGTGTTATACAATGTGTAACACACAGAATTTGAAATAAAGTACCCGTTAAAACCGACTGAGCTTTGTTTGGAAAGTCTTGGTGAGTGAAACTATTATATGATTTCCTAACTGAGACATGGACACATGGCAGGCTAAGAATTGCATGTTAAGGTGGAGTAAGAAGGTTTTTCTAGGCTGAATTTTCACAGGGAGCAACACCATTCATTTCATTAATTTACATTTCTTTAAGAAATTAAACTAGCATTGTATTATTTCACAAAAAAAGGACTCTAGACAAGCTGCATAAGCAACTTTTACTAGGCTGCAGTTTGAAAGGGAGAGCTTTCAATCAAGGCAGCAACTTTTAATCAAGAAATAAATAATAGAGGAGTATTTATTCACAGAACAAAGACAAAAATATTGCATCAACTCAATGCATACATTGCAAGCATTTTACTAAGGCACACTTTCACAAGCAGACACCAGGCCACTTTTAATCAAGCAATCTATATTATAGTGTACTGTTTCACTGACAAATGCCAGAAATATTATAATGGCTCTATGCACAGTATTTAAGTAGACCTCAGTTTCACAGGGAGACACTAAGCAACTTTTATTGAAGACATTTTTGTATTTCACAGAAAAGGTTAGTATATTGTACTGACAGTTTTAAGAGCTTTTAAACGGAGACACCAAGTAGATTTTAATCAACATTAGAGTGTATTATTTAAACAAAAAAGAAATATTGTACCAACTCCATGCACAGTATTTTAGTACTGAGAAGGAAAGCTTTTATTTAAGAATTTAAAATCAGAGTTTATAATTTCACAGATGAAATGACAGAAATGTTATGTACAGTATATCACATTGCATGAATATCCACACAACAGAAAGAATTGCAAGGAAAAATTCAGGCAAATGGTAACATTCACAAATGCAGAGTGCCTCTGTTCTTGATCACATATGAAGTAGAGTGGCTGGAAATAATGAAAAGGCTGGGGTGCCAGTTAGTTGCTGGAGATGAATGAAGTTCTGAAAAGTTTGATCAGTAATGATTTGGCCAAACATTTTAATCAACTCCCATCAAGCCACTGTATATAAATGGCCAGACAGGAGCAGTACCAATGTGGGTGCACATACCTGTTTGTCACCCCACATTGCCCACTTCTGCGCACTCTCTGTGACTGCCTATCACCAATTGTTGTACCAGGCCACTTTTCGAGAGTAGCATTAACTCCACAGGTCTGGTTGTATTGGGTCCAAAGACCTTTGCACTTCTGGCACCTCAGGTATACACCTCAATAGACAAAGACTGATAACATTTGGCTAGTAACCTAGGATCATCCTGAAATGAGACTGAAGATCTTGGAGTGGAATGACAAAATATATTGAGACTATAAGTACTGAATACTCATAGGATATTACAGTGCAGAACAGTTTTTGACATACAAAGTTTCAAACATCAAACAATATAGCAGGAATGCCACCACTGAAACTGAGCAGCAAAAGGCGACAGAGAACTTATTATCAAGAGAATAATGACTAAGTCGCCTAGAGCCACGTATGGTGAGAGAAGGCTAGTTCTAGGCTATAGTTCAATAACTGAAAGTTAAACACAAACTCTTGACTATGCAGGATAAACAAATACTAAAAAAAAATTGTGATCACCTCCGCAGAGTAGTACAGTATCACTATAGTAATATTGCACTGCCCTAGTGACTGTATATAAAAAAAAAGTATTACAAATATCAAATAAATATATAAAAATATAAAAAATTAAAAAAAAATTATATGTTCAAAATATTTATTTACATTTATATTTTTTTTACTTGCTGTAGCCAGTCAGTGTCCCTAATCACTACCGCACCAGTTACAGTGACCCTGATCACCGCCATACCAATCATATTGTCTCTGATCACCACCACATCAGTCATATTGTCCCTGATCATGGCCACACCAGTTACAGCATCCCTGATCATTATTAGATGTGAAGTTTATGCCGCTAGTCAGCCTGAAGGTGCTCTTTGGATTTCGGACCTCTCTATGTGGCTATGCTGTGAAAAAAACTCATACATGTGGTATCACCATATCACAAGAAGTAGCAAAATGTGTTTTTGTGGTGTAATTCTAAGTATAACATAAAAATAGTGCAGCGCTAAAAGTAAAACAGATATGAGTCCACTTAAAGTCTTGGTCATAAGAACGTGTCCAGTGACAAGTGAGGATTCAAAATTGGTGATCCGTGTAGAAATGGCTGAAAAAACGCACTCACCAGAAGAAAGACACATAAATGCAGTGTGCATCTAGAGCTCATGAATCCTCAATCCAGAAGGGAATAAAGCTGGTCCAATTACAGGAATGGTGGATCCCTCCTCTGTGGATGCAGCAACAGATCTTCCTCCTCTTCCCAGTTAGGTGTAGGATTCCAAGATCAGGATTCTGCAAGCAAAAGCTCCTCAGGGGAGTTTAGGGAAGGACACCCATAGTGTAGTAAGGTTATAAAAAGCAGCTTTATTAAAAAATATAGCATCCAATTCAAAGTAGGCAGGTATCATAAAGACGTGTCAGCAAGACAAACTAACCCTGACACTCTGAATAATGGCCGCCGGGCCTCCACGTGGCTCCGGCGGCGTAGCGTCTCGACGTCCAGGCTCCTCCTTACGCGTTACGTGCGCACGCACATCTTCAGAGGTATGGAACCATTGGCGTGATGACGCAAATAGGCGCATATAAATAGGCATAATGATGCATGCGCGGTTTCATATGCGCCAGTGTGCAATAACTAAGGCGCATGTGCATGGCTCCGTCTTCCATTTTAATGGAGCTCAAAAACACATGATAGAAGGGCAATGATACCCTATATTTGACAGATGAATGTCAATAAAGACAAGTTCAACAACGGTGTAAATACACCTATTGAAAGACGAACTGTATAAAGTATATAAAATAAGCGCGATGGCGCCAATGTGTTGAACGTATTCCAATTATGTGGTATAATTTGGGTATGTATTTATACACGCGTCATTATTTCTTTTCAAGTTAAAATTAACCAACATTCAACAGGACATCATATAAATGAACGTTATATGCCAGAAGAAAATTCTCAGAGAATAAAACTAAAATAAAAACATAATATTAAGAAGACTACAGATCTGAATCTGCACTAACCCCCAAAACTAATAACGCATGTGAAAATTATTAAAAAATTACCGTATTTTCCGGCGTATAAGACGACTTTTTGACCCTTGAAAATCTTCTCAAAAGTCGGGGGTCGTCTTATACGCCGGTATACGGCATGCTGACACTTTTTAGGGGGGGCGGTGCGGTGCCGCCGCCGCCCCCCCCTTCCAACGGAAGTGAAACTAAGTACAGGGGTGGGCAGGGGCTTCTGTTTCTTACCTGGCTCCGGTCCCACGACGATCCGGTCCAGGAAGCACAGCTGCTCCTTCCTTCAGTTCGGCCACTGGATGTTCGTGCGGCTGCTCGGCTCCGCCTCCTCACCGGTGATTGGCCACCAGAACTGTAGCTCGGGAAAGGCACACAGGCGGCCAATCACCGGGGAGGAGGCGGAGCCGAGCGGCCCCGCGAAAATCAAGTGAAGGTAAGTGTGCCGTGCACAGGTGCTGCTGCAACCATATATGCTTGCTGCAGCAGCACCATTCTGAACAGTGGTCAGCAAGTGTCAGTGGGAGAAATAGTGCCCCATCATTGGTGTCACTGATACCAATGATGGGGCATTATTCCTCCCACTGACACCGACGATGGGGCACTTCCCCCCCCCACTGACACCAACGATGGGGCACTATTCCTCCCACTGATACCAATGATGGGGCACTATTCCACCCCCCACTGACACCAATGATGGGGCACTATTCCCGCCCACTGATACCAATGATGGGGCACTATTCCACCCCCCACTGACACCAATGATGGGACACTATTCCCCCCACTGACACCAATGATGGGGCACGATTCCTCACACTGACACCAATGATGGGGCACGATTCCTCCCACTGACGCCAATGATGGGGTGCTATTCCTCCCACTGACACCAATGATGGGGTGCTATTCCTCCCACTGACACC